TTTCTTCTTCATTTATTTCTTCATTCAATTCTTTATATGTATGTTTAGGCGATTGTCATCGGAAAACTCAATAAAAGACACTTAATCAGCGATTAACGATGTAATACACAATCTTGGACAGGTGAGTCCGGACTGTGTCCTGACATGACCCCGGACTAGCTTGAAGTTACTATACTAGGGATACCTGTGTGTATTGCATTACGATAGCTATTAAACTGTATATAAACTGTTTATTGTCGTAAAGCTTGTTGACGGAAAACTTGATCAAAGGAAAAGTTTGGACTAAAATCTCCATTTATAAAAGATATTTATCCGAGATTCAACGAAATAATTTAATGTTGGTCATAATAGACGAGTCCGGGTGGTGACCTGAAATGACCCCGGACTAGGTGTATTTGCAAAACTGACAAAATGTGCACATCGACAGAGATGTAAAACTGCAGACATTATTTGATGAAAAGAGGTTTTTCATGTTTATTCATTTACCCTTTTGCTTATTTGATTGTCATCGGAAAAAAATGACAAAAGACGTTTATAAGAGAAAGAGCAAAATAATACTAGGTGAGTCCGGGCCTTGACCTGAAGTAACCCCGGACTTATATAAACAGCAATAGAGAAATAAACATAATTAATTGCTAGATTGAAAGATGTGTTTTTTTTCTTTTTTTCTTCTTCATTTATTTCTTCATTCAATTCTTTATATATATGTTTAGGCGATTGTCATCGGAAAACTCAATAAAAGACACTTAATCAGCGATTAACGATGTAATACACAATCTTGGACAGGTGAGTCCGGACTGTGTCCTGACATGACCCCGGACTAGCTTGAAGTTACTATACTAGGGATACCTGTGTGTATTGCATTACGATAGCTATTAAACTGTATATAAACTGTTTATTGTCGTAAAGCTTGTTGACGGAAAACTTGATCAAAGGAAAAGTTTGGACTAAAATCTCCATTTATAAAAGATATTTATCCGAGATTCAACGAAATAATTTAATGTTGGTCATAATAGACGAGTCCGGGTGGTGACCTGAAATGACCCCGGACTAGGTGTATTTGCAAAACTGACAAAATATGCACATCGACAGAGATGTAAAACTGCAGACATTATTTGATGAAAAGAGGTTTTTCATGTTTATTCATTTACCCTTTTGCTTATTTGATTGTCATCGGAAAAAAATGACAAAAGACGTTTATAAGAGAAAGAGCAAAATAATACTAGGTGAGTCCGGGCCTTGACCTGAAGTAACCCCGGACTTATATAAACAGCAATAGAGAAATAAACATAATTAATTGCTAGATTGAAAGATGTGTTTTTTTTCTTTTTTTCTTCTTCATTTATTTCTTCATTCAATTCTTTATATATATGTTTAGGCGATTGTCATCGGAAAACTCAATAAAAGACACTTAATCAGCGATTAACGATGTAATACACAATCTTGGACAGGTGAGTCCGGACTGTGTCCTGACATGACCCCGGACTAGCGTGAAGTTACTATACTAGGGATACCTGTGTGTATTGCATTACGATAGCTATTAAGCTGTATATAAACTGTTTATTGTCGTAAAGCTTGTTGACGGAAAACTTGATCAAAGGAAAAGTTTGGACTAAAATCTCCATTTATAAAAGATGTTTATCCGAGATTCAACGAAATAATTTAATGTTGGTCATAATAGACGAGTCCGGGTGGTGACCTGAAATGACCCCGGACAAGGTGTATTTGCAAAACTGACAAAATATGCACATCGACAGAGATGTAAAACTGCAGACATTATTTGATGAAAAGAGGTTTTTCATGTTTATTCATTTACCCTTTTGCTTATTTGATTGTCATCGGAAAAAATTGACAAAAGACGTTTATAAGAGAAAGAGCAAAATAATACTAGGTGAGTCCGGGCCTTGACCTGAAGTAACCCCGGACTTATATAAACAGCAATAGAGAAATAAACATAATTAATTGCTAGATTGAAAGATGTGTTTTTTTTTCTTTTTTTCTTCTTCATTTATTTCTTCATTCAATTCTTTATATATATGTTTAGGCGATTGTCATCGGAAAACTCAATAAAAGACACTTAATCAGCGATTAACGATGTAATACACAATCTTGGACAGGTGAGTCCGGACTGTGTCCTGACATGATCCCGGACTAGCTTGAAGTTACTATACTAGGGATACCTGTGTGTATTGCATTACGATAGCTATTAAACTGTATATAAACTGTTTATTGTCGTAAAGCTTGTTGACGGAAAACTTGATCAAAGGATTTATCTGACCAAACAGAAGATGAAAAATATCTAAATATATAAGGTAGGTCTGTTTTTAGTTAATTGATATATGACAAGGTATATATTTTTGATAAACAAAATATATGAAAAGGGTGTGGTACTTGATGTCTCAGCTGCTCACCCCTACCAAAAAAAGTTTGAAGTCCCCCCCCCCTCGAGAGTCTTACTTTTATTATTTGTTTCCTGTTAAGAAACATCAATTGGGGCTGTTGTTATGTCACTGCACGTGTAATATAAGTCTCATGTTTTATGGGGCGTATGACATTTGCGCCGATTTTATCCGAGATTCAACGAAATTATCAAATGTTGGTCGTAATAGGCGAGTCCGGGTGGTGACCTGAAGTGACCCCGGACTAGGTGTATTTGCAAAATATAGGCATCAATAGAAATATTAAACTTTACACATTATTTGATAAAAAGAGGTTTTTCAGTTTTATTCATCTAACTTTTTGCTTATTTATTTGTCATCGGAAAAATTAACAAAAGACGTTTATCCAAGAATCAACAAAATAAAACTAGGTGAGTCCCGGAAGTGACCTGAAGTAACCCCGGACTAGGAGTATAGGAATTATATATATATTCAATTAATTGCTGAATTATATATAAAGATGTTTTTTCTTCTTTTTTTTCTTTATTCATTTCTTTATTTCTTTAATTATTTAATTGTCATCGGAATAATCAATAAAAGACACGTAAGCAGCGATCAACGATGTAATACCCAATCTTGAACAGGTGAGTCCGGGCTGTGACCTGACACGACCCCGGACTAGCTTGAAGTTTACTATACCTGCGTGTATTGCATTACGATTACTAACTGTATATAAACTGTTTATTGTCGTAAAGCTTGTTGACGGAACATTTGATCTTACGTGTAATACATAGAAAATTTAAAAGACTTTTATCCGAGATTCAACGAAATAATCAAATGTTGGTCGTAATAGGCGAGTCCGGGTGGTGACCTGAAGTGATCCCGGACTAGGTGTATTTGCAAAATGTAGACATCGATAGAAATATTAAACTTTACACATTATTTGATAAAAAGAGGTTTTTCAGTTTTATTCATCTAACTTTTTGCTTATTTGATTGTCATCGGAAAAAATACGCATACACAGTTTAAAAAAAAGAATTAAATCAGACAAGGTTTTTACCTATTGACAAGCTATTTGTATAATAAACTACATACAGGATACGGAACAAGTTGTTTTTTTTTTTAAATAAATATAGTCAGTCGTTTTTAAAATGTATAGGAATTATAGATAAAATCACTTTTATAAATTATCTCATAGTTCAAAGTCAAACTAGCGGTGTTCCGTGTAAACAAAATTTTCAAAATCTGATTTTGTTCATAACGCTTTAATTTAATAAATTTGTTTAATTCGGTCCTTCCCTAATTTGATCATCAGCATGGCTACTGATTTATTGCCAGAGGTATTGTGAGGAGACATGACCAGGTATTTAAGCGATTTCCTGTCGGACTAAAAACACTTAGTATACAATTACGTAATGCTGGTTCATGCATCGCTGACTGCTGACCATATATACCACTGTGTATACATCAGAATACACGGCCGGTAGTTTGGAACGTTCAGGTGTAATATACATACACATTTTGTTTGTTTTGAGTCCGACAGTGATACACGATACATTTCTTAACTCATATGAGGCAAATTTACTACCACTTGTTTATGTATAACAAATTTGTAAATAAACACACTGTATGTATGATTTATTTATTATTATTATTATAATGCATCTTGTTATAGTTCTCCAAAAATTACCATCCTTCTCCTGAATAAAAAAGGAAAATATAATTCTAAGAAAATTCACTTTCCCCTATAATTTATCCAAAAATATTTCCATGTGTTTTAAGGTCATTTGTAAATATGCATACTGTAGGTAGGATTTATTTTTATTATTATAAATTATAATGCATCTTGTTACAGTTCTCCAAAAATTTAACTTCCTTCTCTTGAATAAAAAAGGAAAAAATAATTCGAAGAAAATTCACTTTCCCCCTATAAATTTATCCAAACAATATTTCCATGTGTTTTAAAGTTATTTGTAAATATACATTCTGTAGGTATGATTTATTATTATCATAATGCATCTTAATACACTTCTCCAAAAAACTATCTCCCTTCTCATGAATAAATAAGGGAAACATAATTCCAAGAAAAATCACTTTCCCCCAATAATTTTTACCCAGTCCGGGTCCGTCAGTTAGTCCGGGTCCGGCGTCCGGTCCGGGTCCGGGTTTCATACCAAAGTCCGGGTCTGGAGTCCAGTCCGGTCCGTGTTTCAGGACGTACCGGTTTTATATAATTGGGGTCCTAAATGGGGTGATTTTCAGATGAACAAAAATACAATTTGTCGAGTATTGTCGTTCGTAAATCAGTCGTTTCTTAGATTTTCTTTTGTGAATACACACACGAAAACTAGTCAGGCTTATCACTATATCACATGGGAACATATATATACTGTTTATCCTCGCTAAACGAAGAATTTATTACTATTTTTCTGTTGTTTAAGACACTTACGTTGACGTTTAGACGTCTTTTGTATATGTTTTAGTTGGGTTGGTGTTAATTAAAAGGAAAACAAACTGATTTTCAATAGGACGAGATAGGTGAGTGTATTCTAATATGTCATAATGCAGTTGTTTTCTAGTGTAAGATAGGTAACTCAAATATTTCATTATCGTAAACAAAGATTGGGCGAAGGTTATTTTTAAGAACTATATTTCAGAATTTTAAACAGATTACAGAAGTTAAACGAGTATAGGTGAAATGACGACCACTAAAGAGAGCTGTGGTGTAGAATATACCCATGTTGGAAAATCAGGGCTTAAAGTTTCCAACGTATGTCTTGGAACTATGACTTTTGGTAAAAACGATGATCACCCAGTAGCTGTAAGTAGCCAACTGTAAAAATAAGTAAAATTTTTAACAGGGTAAAAGGGCTGTGGTGACCAAGAATCGGGTATTCATTGGTCACTCAATACAAAATTTGGTTTGGGTTATTCCTACATTATGCCTGATAGATGAGCGTTTCGCTCGCTCAAAAGTCAGCGCTTCGAGTGGTGTCAGTGGTGCTAACCACGAGTCTGCTTGCACGTCTTTTGACAACTGGTAGTCTGTGCAGGGCTTAATTTATGCGTGTATTTAATTACCAGAATAATGGAATATGACTACTTTCTTGAACAGTAACACTTTATTTTGCAAAATTAGTTATAAAAAAACTGTCTTTATCAGTAAGAACAAATCGACCTACTTTTAGCCAGAATATACTTATTGAAGATAACCCATTAATCTGTTATGCAATTGTCACTAGACCAATATTACGTTTTTATTAAGTATCGAATGTATGTGCAAGTCATAGTACTCTGGGGATTTAAATAAAATCTTTAAAATGATATGCTATATAAAAACCGGGTTTCTTTTGTGATCATTCAAAACTCAAAACAAACAAAACAGAAAACAGTAAACAAATGATGTCATTTCAAATTAACTTTTTCGGTTTTGATGTATTTAGTACAGGTTTACATTTGATAGTACTTTTACCATTGCAATTATTAATTGTGTCGGCTGCTGACTTATTGTGCAAATGAAACAAGAAGCACAAATTCTTACAGATACAATCAATTCAAAGTTTGAGAAACAGATCTATAAATGTATAAAGTGTACGTATAAATGGCGAAAAAAATGTTTTATTCGGAATTTGTTCGTACACTCTATACAATTACTATAAATTGCGATTTCTGGATATACATTTGACAGAAGCTTATATTTTTTTATATATGATATTGCGAATATAATAGGAGAATAACAAATATAAAAAAAGTATTCATCTCGTGGACAAATAACATGCTAATTAACTCATCGATAATTAGGTCATCCGCATCATGCATTCATGAAGTATTGTTTTCTTATGTCACTCGTTGTTTATTTTTCAAAATTCGAGTTCTTGAGTTAGTTAAAATTATTCTATTGGTATTCAGAACATACAAGTAACAAAATAAACAATCACTCTCAATTTACTGGCGTATTGAATTTTAAGCCTAGTACCTTCTGCTAGCTATTATTCGTGTGTTTCTTTGTCCTATATGTTCTCCCATTTATTTGTATTGTGGTCCTGTCATGTGATGTTGTCGTTTTGGTGTTGTGTTTGACGTTGCCATAAAAGCGGGAGGTTTGGCATGCCACAAAAACAGGTTCAACCCACCATTTTTTTCTTAAAATGTCCTGTACCAAGTCAGGAAAATGGCCATTGTTATATTATAGTTCGTTTCTGTGTGTGTTACATTTTAATGTTGTGGTTTTGTTGTGTCGTTGTTCTCCTCTTATATTTGATGCGTTTCCCTCAGTTTTAGTTTGTAACCCGGATTTGTTTTTATCTCTATCGATTTATGAGTTTCGAACAGCGGTATACTACTGTTGCCTTTATTTACTCTGACAGTATTTCCAAATACTGTAGGACTTGTAAGTTGGCAACAATATCGTAAGTCTCTCTCTCTCTCTCTCTCTCTCTCTCTCAGGTAGATGTAAATTCAGCTAACATATTAAGTAAGATATTGTGAATATTTTAGGTGTACAGCTGTCCGACGCAAGCAGATGAGGAAAAGTCTCACAAATTGTTAGACCGCTATGTGGAACTTGGGGGCAACTTTTTGGACACTGCTAATGTGTACTGTTTTGGCCTGTCTGAAAAAATAATTGGAACATGGTTAAAGAAGTAAGCTCGATTATTGCAATTTGTAATTTGTTAAATTTTACACACTAAAATAACTTTAATGCTATTATTTTATTGTAAACGACGACGTATTTATGTTTGTTTTATATTTTAGACCCGAAATTGGCCAAAATACCCAGAATTAGCTACCAAAAGCGTAAAACTTCAGTATTTTTCTCAATTTTCAGTAATTACAATTTCCATCAATGTGTTTTTCATCTCTAAATATTGTGAACTTCTGCACAAAGATTCTATTTTATAGAAACACAATGTAAAAGATGTAGATATTTTCATTATATATAAAAATAAGGAGATGTGGTATGATTGAACCCCTTACTGTTTAGTAGGCTATAAAATTCCCTACATGATAAATGTAAAAAAATCCAAACGATTCATGTTCAAAATAATAAACGAAAAAAATAGAATAAAATGAATTACAGGCTCATGATTTAGGACCGGCACATATAGAATGTTGCGGGCTTAACAGGATTGCGATCTCTCAACCTTCCCTTACATGGGACAGAGATGTAAGAGCACAAATTGATAACAAACGCTAAAAAATAGTTGAAAAGAACTTAAGTGGGTTAGAGAATACCTAAGGAAGTTAACTCCGTTAAATTCAGCTGAACGTTTAATCACATAGTATTAGTAAAGAGAAATCAAGCATCTAAATGGTCAAAATTATTGTCAAACTGCTATATGTCTAACGAAATTATTCATGTAAATTGTGTAGTTTAAATTTCTTGAAATTTTTATATATTTATCAACAGGTCAAAATAAATATTTTGTCCAAATTTCATGAACATTAAACGAGCCAAATCTATTTTAATCAAAGTGTTGGGTACCTACCCCTTAACTCATCAGATCGATACAAAGTACAAAACAACTAAAATAAAAATGTTACAACAAAAATACCGAACTCCAATGAAAATTCAAAAGTCAATAAAAATAACAAAACCAACCGTATATCAACCAGCGGAACGAATAGACGAATATTCCTGACCTAGTATAGGCATTTCTGAATATAATAGCGGGTTAAACCTGATTTTATGGCTAGATTGCTAAACCATTTGTATGGTATGTGCCTATAGTTCATCAAATGACTACTGTCGAAGACGGGACATTAAAATGAGGAGACGTGTTATGATGGCAAGTGAGACAACTGAGACAACTATCCACAAATGGACAAAGATATTAACAACTACAGTTCATCATCGGCCTTCAAAACTGAACCAAATTCATACCGTATTGTGGACTATATAAAAGGCCCAGGTACAATAAGATTTGGAACAATTCAAAATAGACCAACGAATTTCATGATTTAAGCTAATTTCTGAAAAATTTAAAGCAGACAATAACCCTAGATTACTTGCTCCCGGTTCGGGACAGACACAAACAGCGGAGTTAAACATATTTGTTAGCGCATAACATTTCTTCTAATCTGGGACAGTAGTGAAAACAATATAAGAACAGACTGTAAAAACCATTTCGAAAAGATTTGACTTATTTGATCGGCACTTAGCAAAACAAAATTAATAGAGACAAAAGACACAAATTACAGATCTAACAGTACTCGCATATATTGGAATCTATTTCAAACCCCAGTTTCAAATAGCAAAAACATCATGATTTCCCAGACGAAAATATTGATCAGTACACCTCCAACGGATTTTATGTCACAACGTTACAAGCAGTAAGTTTAAATTATTACACGAAAGAATGCCAATTAGAATTGTACACACATTTCATTCTTGTAAATAAATAGATAAAAACAAAAAAAAATAGAGAAGGCTATCATGTCACAATCGGCTTGATTTTTAAAATTTTCGAACGATAGAAGATATTCAATTTTATTTTTTTTTCAGACAGAAAAGAGATAACATAGTTGTGGCTTCGAAGGTTCGGTTTCCGATAGGAATGGAACCTAACAGTGTTGGTCTTAGCAGACGACATATTATCAAGAGTTGTGAGGACAGTTTAGAACGACTTCAGACTGATTACATTGACCTTTATCAGGTGCTGTGTTTACATTTGAAATACCTCACACAAAATAAACATTGCTGATATGTCATATTTTTCATTTCACGTTTGTCTAGCAACAGTTTGGAGAAATATAGTGTGTGTTACCCTACATTGTATTTTTACGATATATTTTGCGTCTACGTGTGTTTATGTGTGTTTTTTGTTTGTTTGTTTTTGTTTTGTTGCCTTGTCGTTTCTCTCTTTGTTTAAACATTTGCCATTATTTGTGTCACTCTTTTTTTCATATTCATTTTCAGATTCTAGAAGAGCTATAATTCCAGATTGAAATGTCCAATATACCGAACTTAAAAAAAACACTGTGATAACGAATTTGCGTTTAATATATTTTAAACCGTTTAAAAATATTAACTCCATTTTATAATTGTAATGATATAAATATGTATGTGTTATTTATTGACATGAGGGGAGTAGATATCTTAAAAAACCGCAACATGTGTATGTGCCTTTTATGAACCTCCTCAGTGATTGTGTTTTGTCATATCTTAAAGTTCTATGTCATTTGGAGAAGTTAGGTGTTGAAAGCGCTTATTTGATTTCTTTCTCTCCTTTTTTAGACCCTTGAAGATATTGTTTAAACTTCTATGTATTTACTCCTCATGCCTTGAGTTTTTTTTTTGTCGTTGGGTCGCTTTCTCGTTGACGGATACCCTACAACTCCTTGTGCGCATATAACACTTGATTGTAATAACCCTTCTGTTAATTACCATCTTCATTTACATAAATTTAGCCAATCAATGTCAGGTCTGCACATTCGCGGTATACATATATAATGTAAAAAAAGACAGGTCAGATATTCAACTTGGTTGAAAAATAGAATGTTATGTATTGAATTTAAATGAATTTTAATGCTTTACTGATTAAACATTAATTGCCAACAGTTCAAGGACTGCTACTGGTTCTCTTTAAGGATATTTATTTTTAACATTCATACAAGACATCAATGCATATAACAATCACAAACACACATGCAAACACACCAACAACTTTAACCTTTTGTAAGATAAAAACAACACCAAATATATACAATTTGTTGAAACTGTCATTGCCAGATATAAGTAAATGAGTTTTTTAGTTAAGCTTACTAATAAAAATGCATTTAGATACCATGTTAATATCTAAGAAATTTAACTAGGTACATATCAACTATTGTAGACACATATATGGGATGATGCTACGCCAATTGAAGAGACTATGAGAACTTTGGATGACCTGGTACGATGTGGAAAAGTTCGCTATATCGGAGCATGTAATTTGGTCGGTTGGCAGATGCAGAAAGTTGTAGATCTTACGAAATATATGGGTCTTACACCACTGATAAGCCTACAGGTATGAAACTGCACTGTTCTTATAATGACGATTTCATTACTTCAAATTCACTGCTAATGTAAGCTTAATGATGAGTTTTGTGGGTGATGGGGTTACTGTTAAAATTTGTTAACGTCTGCAGTGCTTTTTATACTGATTAAGGTTTCTTATACTAAAATGGATCAAATTCTAGTAAAACTAACGACTTTTTTATGTTTCCCATATTTTTTTTTTTTAATTTATATAACGCTTTAAACAGCAAATAAAGTTATTAATGAATATATTGTAAAATACGAAGTTTCTCTTGTAGCAACAATATAATCTTTTGACCCGACATCCAGAATTTGAAGAATTCCAAGTTTGTAAAAATGAAGGTTTAGGAGTTCTTCCATGGAGTCCCTTAAAGGGGTAATATTATATATTAGACAAGTTTGGTCTTTACCGTTACTATTAAGGGAGGCGGATTTATATGTTTTTCTTATTTCCGAATACCTTATGTTTCTGTTGTACATTTTTCTTTTGTTCATTTTTGAAGGAAAAAATGTTAAAACTTAACCATTCTCTCAAAACGCAGGAATAAAAAAAAAAGAATCATCAAACGTGTTTTTCCATTCATTCATATTAGAATTTGATCATTTATCATTTTCATTCAAAAGAACATAAAATGACCATTGCTAAATGTTACGACATAAACTCTTAAATGAAGTTATACCAATGCCATGAGCTGTTTATAGTATGATCAACAACCTTGATCCGTAATACGATTAATGCACTATGTTATAGATGAAATACCGTGTCAACAATGTACTTGAGATAATATAAAGACAAAATTGTACCTAGTTGTTTTACATTATATTTATAGTGGTGTTTTAACTGGTAAATACAAACGAGGAGAGAAACTTGACCATACAAGTGGACGTATTGCTCATATAGCTAAAGATGAAAGTAAGGCCATGCAATCTGCTCCGGCATGGAGTCAGTATGCTAACAATGAATCGTACTGGAGCCTAATAAAAACAATGGAAGAAATAGGAAAGGCTCATGGTAATTTTAAGTTTAACAAACACCTATGATCGTTTAGAGTTAAGAGGTTTATTTTAAATTGAATTGACGTTAAAGTTAAATTCAAGTTAAAGACAAATGAAGACAATGTGAAAATCAACAATTTATATCCATTCCACTAAAAATAAATTCAAAACTATCAATTTATTTTAGTAATGTCATGCTTATATTTCCCAAAACTTCAGACTATTTCTATGGACAATATTTTTGTGCTTTATTAGCTAATAATAACATAATAGTCTTCGACTGTTTAATCGATTATTGCTTATAGATAGTTATATCTAATGAAATCTGTCTATGTAACAAAGTTGAAGGAAAAATTAATCGCAGTCAACCAACATCCTTAAATCTTTAATAACTTTTACTATAGGAAAATCAGTGGCTCAGGTTGCCTTGAGATGGACACTTCAGAAAGATGTTGTAGCATCTGTAATAATTGGTGCCACATCAATCAAACAACTAGAAGACAATATGGCCGTTGGTAGCGGTTGGAGTTTAACAAAAAAAGAGGTAATAATGACATGTTCATTCTTTCACATTGACATTAAACATGCCAGATTTCTTTTGCATGTTTATTTGAAATCATACTCAATTCGTGGTTATTTTTTTATTTTCAAAATTACTGTTTTTTTTTATACTTTTTCTACTTTTTCCATTAAAATTGATAGTGCTGGTATCAGAAATTGATTCATCCAACTCTTATAGTAAAAATAAATATACACATATAACAATAGCTTATACAAAACTGGGTCCCAAGAGAAATCTTCCAATTCCTTAAAATTAGTTAAAAACCAAAGTTAGATTATATGTCAAAAGGTCAACACCTTTTTTTTTTTTTTACATATATTCATTTATTCAGGAAAGACGTTTAAATAAAAGATATGAATTTTTAAGGCTATGCTATATATAATAGTCGATTTTCGAATTTTTAGGAAATTTGTATGCCTTCAGATATCGTTGAACTGTATCTGAATATCGAAAAAAATATATATGCAGGATGTCTTTTTTTTGTATGATGTTTGCATTTTAATGTATATATTATCAAATGCAAGTAACCCTAGTGAAAGAGCCAAAAAGATGCCAAAAGATAAATCTAGTTTGATGCCTGTGTGATGTTCGTTGTTGTTTGTCTTTTTGTACCCCTGGTGCATTTTTTCGGGGGAGACGACTCTTGATGGTTTGTGTGGTCTGTTGTAATGTTCAGTATTTTAAGTTATTCCTGTTTTCCATTTTGCAAGTAATATTGTGTCGATCGTCGATAATTAACATCTGTATGCTGGAAATCTTATTTGATTTTTTTGAAGCCGTATGCTCTCGATGTTTCATAATTTTTGGGTTGATCTGCTAATGTAGGTAACTTCTATTACTATTTTACTATAACTATTATTTTTGTTTATTTAGATGCAGTTATAGAATTCAATATACTCATTATGATTTTTGTGCATTGCAGATGGAGAAACTAGACCAGGTTTCTATACCAGATATACCTTACCCATATGAAATGTCATGGAGATGCAATTCTGCCCGAGTCAACAGATACAATCCAAGACCATTTATAGCAAATGTGTATTGACATATGGACTTTAGTGGGTGACATGCACATTGCTTATATGATATACATATAGATATATATTAGTTGAAAATTAAAATGTGTAGGCATGAGAAAACAGAGAAAATTATGATTATCTTTGAATTTTATAGCATTTGTTGAAATCTCAAATTATAACACTAATTATTTAGGTTTTAACAATGATATAAAACAAATAAATGATTGCAATATATTAGGTAAGAAGAGTTTTTATTTGTGTTATATATTTATGTTGATAAAAATTTAAATGATATGTTATATTTTTGTTATTTTGATAATATTTTAACCAGTAGATCATATAGATTCTATATGAAAAGAGATACCATTGATGACGAGGTGTTACTATAATCATAGCAGCAATAAGTTCTTTCTTTCAGTTTTTCCGTTTAGGTCAGTAAGAACGTTACCAGTTAACATTTACAATTTTTACAATTGTAGTACACATAATTTCAGATTTTACGAGGCGATGACTGAGTTTTACTGTAAGAAATAATTTTTCATTACAAAACCCCTTTTTTCAAGTTATCTTTTCATGATTTTAATGAATAATGACTATGTAAAAGCTTTAATACAACAAGTGTTAATCTATACTTTAATGATGAAGACATAATCTTTCAATCAGTTTAATTGATGTCTGGAACTTGCATGTCAGTAACTGCTAGTAGTCCTTTGTTAATTTATGTTATCGTTGTCATTTTGCTTAGTTTCCTTTGTTACCTATTCTGACATCGGGATCGGAATTCTTTTAAACTGAGTTTTACTGTGCGTATTGCTGTGTGTTTAGTTATTCTACATTGGCTAGAGGTATAGGGGAGGGTTGAGATCTCACAAAACATTACATGTTTAACCCCGCCGCATTTTTGCGCCTGTCCCAAGTCAGGAGCCTCTGGCCTTTGTTAGACTTGTATGTTTTTTAATTTTAGTTTATTTATAAGTTTTGGAGTTTAGTATGACGTCCATTTTCACTGAACTAGTACACATTTTTATTTAGGGGCCAGCTGAAGCCTGCCTTCGGGTGCCGTATTTTCTCGCTGTGCTGAAGACCCATTGGTGGCCTTTGGCTGTTTTCTGCTCTTTGGTCGGGTTGTTGTCTCTTTGACACATTCCCCATTTCCATTCTCAATTTTATCTAAATTATTAAATTAGTACACCTCTTTCTTTCATGCATCTTAACAAGATGATATACTTGTACCAAAGCATGCTGTAGATCAAGTACAACAGAACAGGTACAACTCCAACGACAGCTGTATTGGGAGGCTCTAAACGGGCTTCCATGAGACATTCGTTTTAAATATACGCATGGAGGGACTTTACCTTATTTTTCGGGGTGAGAATTCAATTTGTATGAGAGCACATACGCATCTGTTAGAATTAGTTCACAAACTGTCTTCAAACACGAATTTATCATTTAATGTAAATTAAAAAGACAAAAAATAAACAACAACAAAAACAATGCGATCATATGCGACTTCCGTTGTGAGAATGAGAACGTTGACTCGATGCCTCGTCTAGAAAGAGAGCGCCACGCTCTTTGCAAGCCAAAGAACCTTTGCAAGAACTCTTTACGGGTCCGTAGTTGGCAGGTTGAAAGGCAAAACTTCTCTCTCTTTCAGTCTTACATAACTTCTATTTCCAGTGGTAGTCTAAATTTCCAGCTCTACACCCCGATCGACCTCCTTTTTAGAACCTACCTATAAGATTAAGTGTTGTGTTATTCTCGTCCTGAAAATGCATGAAATGTTTTCGAGCCTCACTGATGAGTCTTTTGTAGACGAAACCTTACCTTACCTTACCTCTGAATCTTTAACCTCCTGTATAGGAGAACCATACCAGTGTCTTCATAGGCACCAGTATGTTTAACAGTAACAGGCCATGTGTAAATTTACAACAAATCTATGGCTTCCATGAATTATTTTGATTCTAATAGGACAAATAAGGTCATTAAAAAACTGAAGCGAGGGTGGGTATGCCGTGTGTGTCGCTATTCTTATTTACTCCCTGTTAGATAAAGCTTAAACTTTCTAATAAATATGTAGCTTGCAGCAAATATTTCGCAAATAACTGCTAGAAAAAATGTGTTTAATTCTTTTAACTCCCAAACCCAACATTTGCCATTTGTAATTTACATGTTTTTCTCGTAAGCTACCGTCAAATCCAAAGTTGACATTTCGTAACTAAGGAGCCGCCATGTTGACTTGCTGAAATCAGTAAATATTCGAATAATGCAATAGAATAGAAAATAAAACAAACCCTACCTCAAAAATTCATTTTAATGCAATATTATACGAACTTCCATGGTTCACGTAACGGAAAAACCTTCAGCTTTAGCGTTTTCATTTGTATGACGTCATGTTTTGAAATCACTTAAATGCGCCAAAAGCATTAACGGACTTTCGCGGAATTTTAATTTATTTTAGATTTTGTAGATTTCTCCGAGCTATTGTGCATTTATTTTTGTTTGAGAATAGAAGTTCTGTAGTCTTTTTTCAATTGTAGTTTTTAAAACAATAAAATCGGCATAGCGTTTGCAAATAAGTTCCGATACATGTGGATTTACGTAGGAGGTATTTTGTAACATCCATTATTATGTATATCTCTGAGTCTGCGCTAAGTATAGATATATCGAGTATTTTATCATGGTGTTGTTTACAAAGCGAAAGAAGCACGTCATATTAGAATTTCTATTCGGTATCATAGTTGTTTGGTTATTACACCTTTACGTTTTTCTTGTCCTTTTTCCATCCTTTTGACAGGAAACTATATCTGGTGGTGTGCAACAAAAAGAGAAGGCGGCGGCTACAATATTCAATTTTGGCCATAAATTTTGTGTCCAGTTTCAGATTTTCCCGGAGCATTGTAATGTCCAGAAGAATTTGCATCTTTACTTTTGATGTTTGCTCGTGAAAGTCTACATTTGTTGAACCCTTCAGAATGGCATTTATTTCATCCGCAATTGGGTTCCTGATGTCGGATAGACCTTCGCATTCTAGGATGAAATGTTCAAGCGTTTCGTCCCCTTGGTGGCATATGAGACACATCGGGTCTGTTTCATTTTCATACATTTTGATTCTGTGTGACTGCAGAATGTATGTGCCGGTTAGCATTTTTAGTTTTGGAGGAATTCTTCCTATATCTCTAGCTGATTGGCATTTGATTTTTAGCAGAGGATGTAGCTTCCCTTGGTAAAATTCCATGTAGTTTAAATGCCGTAGGCCTTTGTAGTAAGGAACGATCCTTGTTATTGAGTCATTCCAGTGTTTTTGGATAGTTCGGTTTATTAATAGGATCCATTTTTCTTTCTTCATTGGTGTATCAAGGTAGTTATTGATTTCGTCCATGTTGTATGTTATTAGGATCTTTTGTCCAGTGACTTTACCATAATTTGCCTTCGCGCCAGTTGTTTTTCTGTGCTGCTTTCATCTTGGTTGCAGATGTTATTAAATAACCCAAGTGCTCTTTTGTAAATCTGCGCTTCGACGGGTAGTATTCCTAATAGTATGTATACCACCGGGTATGATGTTGCTGTTAGGAGTGAAAGCAGTTGTTTCAGTATTCTTTCCTAGAATTTTTCTAGTTTTTGGTAGTAATAGTTCCATTCTGTAGAGTAGCACGGGGCTTATGTACGTTTTAAACAGGTGTACCACTCTTTCCGGATCTAGTCCATTGTGTACATGGAATCCACCACCAAATAGGCCGTATGCGCTTCTTCTAGCTTTCCTGATATTTTCCTCAACATTCATAGCAATGGTTTACTTCATTGAGGATGTCCGGATTATTCCCAGGTGTAGTGCCTGTTTGACTGTTGGCATTACAGATTTCCAATGTTGAATATGCACTCGTTGGTATTGTTCTTTTTATGAGGTTTAACGACACACTTTTCTTTGGTTGTAGCTCATAGCCTTCCATGTACGCAAAATCGTGCGCCATATTTATCAGCACTGTGTATCATCTTCTTGTGTACTCATTAGGGCTATATCATCTGCACAGGCGCTGGCATTGCATATTATATTACCAATCCTTATAACAAGATTTGAGTTTTCCAGTCAGTCTAGTAGTGGATTTACATAAAGTTTATATAGGTCTGTGCTGAGTATTCGGCCTTGACGTACACCTAGTGAAGCTGGGAAGCAGTCAGAGATATTTCCTCCACATTTAATGGTACTGGCAGCATTTTGGTGTAGACTACTTATTAGTGACCAATGTTTGTCTTCGATACCTGCGTGGCAAACTCTTCTCACGCTGATTTGGCATCTAGCAGTATTATTTGTGCCTCTGTTTCACCGTCATGTACTTCACGGTACACTTCTTCAACTGGTAGTGCTGAGTTCATTGGTCCCGAGGCACTTGTGAATCCACATTGGTATTTATGTTGCACGGATTTTACTGATGGTTGTGTTCTATTTTTCAGCACTGTGTCTATTACTTTGCTCACTACCGGCAGCACTGTTATTCCTCTGTAATTTCCTGCATCATTCTTACTTCCTTTTTTTTGAAAATTGGTGTCAGGAGTCCAATTTTTAGGAGATCTGGAACATATCCCTGTTGGAATATTTCATTTATGATACTTTGGAGCAAAATGACCATGTTTTCTCCAGCGTTAACGATATGTTCAATTGTGATGCCATAATTTACCCTTGTTGATATTTTTGATTGCGTTTGAAATTTCTTCATTCGACGCTTCAGGAATGTCCCTGCCTTTGACCAGCTCATTTATTATGCAAATTTCTTGTTCAACGTTTTGATGGTAGTCATGGTCAATGTTAATGTTTTCATCGTATGTTGCCAGTGTGCGGAAATGTTCCTTGAAACCAGCTAGTATATTTTCGTCTCCTGTATAGCAATGTTCATTCACATTCAAGTCCATTATAATTTCTCCGCCTTTTTACGGGTCTTTATGACTAGCCTATGGAATGGTTTCATATTTCTGGTTCTAGTTTCCATGATCAGATCTTTTTCTTCCTCTTTTCTTTTTGCAATTTCTACCCGGACTGTCTTTCGGAATTGTTGTTTTGTACGTCGTTTTTCCAAGAAAAAGACATCGTTTAGATCTTCGTGTTTTCCAGAATTTACCCACGCATTGTAACTTTTCCGCATCGCCCTGTATTGCAGGTGTCCATACCTTGTGTTTCGGTTTTGCATTATACAAGGATTTGATGCTAGAACATTTAATGGCTGATTATTGGATAGTTTTTCAACTATCACCTTTGATGATGTATCGACAATAGCTTTATATAGGTCCATGTCCATTTTGTCCCATT